TCTGATTTTATTATTATTTGGTCTAAAATAAAAAAATAAGTAAATAAAACAAATAAAAGGTTTGGGCAAAAAGAAATAATAATACAATAAAATAAAAAAGGTTTGGGCTGAAACTAAAAAAATCTATGCTTTGACCAAACATCAAGACTGATCCATGGACTATTCAAAAATTGAATTTAATTAAATACGATATTTTTTAAGCACTCTCGGGATTAAATACTGAACTCGACCAATAGTGGCGGTGAAAGGTTGTTCATTTATCGGGTTTGGTTTTGGGGAGACATTTTTAGGTGTCTACAAAAGCCCCCACTTTGACTGAGCTTGTAGAAACGTTAGTTTCGAAAACGATAGTCAAAGTAGTCGATAGGGACGGAGAATGATTTAAGACGTTCTGCGATCCTAAATCACTCTGTATACGCCGATACATGCAGAAAATGTTAATTCCACTGATAAAAGAGTAAAAGGATAGAATACGTATCTGGCACCAATGTATCAGTGACAAATGAGTTTGGCAACTTCCTATGCTTGAAGGAATCCATTGGATTACGTTTGTTGAAACGCTTTCCATGCCTGAGGAAAGCCGACTAATGAATTTGGTAACTTTCTAAGCCTGAAGAAATCTACCAGATGATACTTTCCATGCTTGAGGAAAGCCGACATATGAATTTAGTGGTTTTCTATGCTTGAAGAAATCCACCGGATAATACTTTCCATGCTTGAGGAAAATCGACAGATGATGAGATTGCAAGTCTCCGTGTATCGAGAACCTTGCGCCGTGAAATGATGGTGGTTCGATTGTCCCCGAATGTGGGTTGTAGTTTGTTCGCTTGTCCCCGAACGTGGGATGTAGATGGTCCGCTTGTCCCCGGACGTGGGCTGTAAATGGTCCGCTTGTCCCCGGACGTGGGTTGTAGATGGTCCGCTTGTCCCCGGACGTGGGATGTAGATGGTTCGCTTGTCCCCGGACTTGGGCTTGTTGTAAATGGTCCGCTTGTCCCCGGACGTGGGCTGTAAATGGTCCGCTTGTCCCCGGACGTGGGCTGTAGATGGTCCGCTTGTCCCCGGACATGGGCTGGTTGTAAATGGTCCGCTTGTCCCCGGACGTGGGCTGTAGATGGTCCGCTTGTCCCCGGACGTGGGCTGTAAATGGTCCGCTTGTCCCCGAACGTGGGCTGTAATTGAGACCTGCAAAATAAAATTTGCGAAGGGACTCGTATAGACTATGATTGACTTGACCAACTGGCTTGACCAAGTTTAACTTGACACGACACGACATGAGATGAGTATGACTTGTGATTGTGTGTGTATACTTTGAGTGTGCGTGTATAGACACAAGCAACCGAAAATGCAAAAGCAAAAGCAAAAATTTTCCATCATTTTTTTCATGAGACGAGTGGAGGGTACCGACTTTCTCCCGAAAAAGAAAGACGTGATAAATGAAATTTTATTTTCGAACTTCCCTCGATAAAAATTTTGAAAAAAGTTTTTGAACTTCCCCAAAATAAAATAATGAAAAAGGAAAGAAGTTTTGAACTTCCTCCTTGAGCAAGATGAAATGAATCGTATGGATTGAATTGCTTGTCCTGAAAATAATGTATGCATGATGCATGTTCTTAGGCCAGGAGGCTAAGGACAATTACATCATGTGACACGGTAGATGAATGAACTTATTCATGGAGCTAAGCATCATATATGGTGTAAAGAAACTATCTTGAACGTTACTTAGGTCTGGAAGCTAAGCACGTATACAGATGAAGTGATTATTGCATAATGAACGTTGCTTAGGTCAAGGAGCTAAGCACGATATGCTTTGTATGATTAAAAATTATTGATATATAAATTTTTCTCAGCACATTATGCGATGCATGAAACAATGAATATTGCTTAGGTCAGAAAGTTAAGCAAGTATACAATGTTTCTTCTAATGAATGTTGTCTTGAAACATGCACAATGTTGAAACAAGATTTCATGATAAAGGGATCTTAAAGGAAGGATGATTCATATGGATATGGATGTGTGAGTGAAGTGTGTGAATGTGATACTAAGGCTGGCTGCAAAGGTTATGGTGATGGAAATATATGTCAGAAGAATCAAAGATGATGACTCTTTAGGCTGGGTAAGCTAATGTGATGTGGGTTCAAGCCCCCAAGTCTAGCTCTAAATGGGTAGGGATATAGAGATAATCATTGGATATTCTTTGAATCGATCATGCATAGATATGAATATAAATGTGGCCGCACCTCAATGTGAGGTTGCCTACGTATCCGTTAGGAATCAGGCCGAACGTAGCTCTAACCGAACTTTGCACAAGGGTATGTACACCTCAAAGAGGTCTTTCAAGGGTTGTAATGTGGTTAAGTTGATGGTTTAAGGAAGAAAGAGGTAAAAGGCTCAAGACCCAAGAGAAGCCCCCAAGATGTGTAATTGTGAATATGAAAATTTTGAATTTTGCAAGTTCATTTTCAACACATTTTTTTTTGCTTTGATTTTTTTTTTTTCATTCTTTTGAATCAATGTAGGCAATCTCAAATAATACGGTCCATCACTCACTTAGCATTTATGTTTCTCAGGAACGGTGCCGAGCACTCGATGAGAAACGCAATTTGAGACGTGTTCATATCAAAGACATTCACTAGTAGAAAAATTGAAAAAGGCACCGCTCAATGGCCACCGATTTTTGTAAACCGGTGGCTTAAAAAATGGGCGGGATTAGGCATATGTACATTTCCACCGGTTCAAACCGAACTGGTGGCATAAATGATAAAGGCCATCAGTTTTGAACCGGTGGCAATAATCAAATAATAAAAAAAAGCCCACCATTCTCTTTCCCCTTCCTTTATATACCCTAACCCTAATCTTCTCTCTCCTCTATCGCCTCTCTTCCTCTCCTCCTGCTCTCCTCCTTCTCTCTATCTCCTTCTCTCCTTCGTTCTTACTCCCCCTCTCTCTCCTTCTCTCCCTCTCTGTTCTCTTTCTCTAAATCTCCCTCTCTAAATCTCTCGTCGCTCTCCCTCTCTAAATCTCCCAACGTCACCACCGCCACTGACCACTACAACCACCAAGACCGACATCAACAACAAGTTTTACACGGTTTTCATTTTCCCACACCGTCACCACTGACCACCGCAGCCACCAACATCGTTGCATTTTCTCTCTCCTCGTGATGAAACCATAGGTTTTCAGGTCAAATTCGACCACCAAAACTCTAGATCTAGAGTTTTTATGGTCGAATTTGGCCTCGTAAACCTAATTCAAAGTATGGAGAGTCGTCGAATGAAGATTTGTGTGTTTTTTTCAATTTTTTTTTTATTTTTTCTAATTTTTGGTGGTGGTTGATTGGTCGATTTTTTCTGTTTTTGTTAATTTTAGGTTGTTATTTTCGAAGGCGGTGGTTTTAGGTGGGTGGTGTGGCGGTTTTAGGTGGGTGGTGGGGTGAATTTAAGTAGGTGGTGGGGTGGGTCGTGGGTCGTTGAAGCTGGGTGGTGGGTCGAGGGTTCTGGGTGGTGGGTGGTTGGTTCTGGGTGGTGGGTGGTTGGTTCTGAGTTGTTGGGTGGTGGGTCGTTGGTTATGGGTCGTGGGTCATGCGTTATGGGTGGATTGTGGATTTTGGTGTTTTTTTTTTAATTTTTTTTTTCATATCTAAAGTTTTAATTTTTTGTGTTTTTTTTTTGCAGATCTATTATTGCAGATTCAAGGTTAATTCAAAGAGCTATTTTTTTTAAAAAAAATTGTAAATTAGCTATTTATTCATTGATGAATATACAATGCATGTAATTTATGTATATTATAATTATTTCTCAATTTCTAGGGAAAAAAAAAAGATGTATATTATGATTATATGTAATTAAGTTTCTCTTGATTTTTAAGTGAAAAAAATGAAATTTTTTTTTTGTTTTTTTTGGGCATTATTGCCACCAGTTCCACCTAAAAACCGGTGGCAATACTTACTAATACCAAAAAAAAATGCGGGAAGTAGGGGTGTACAAAAACTGGACCGGACCTGAAACCGGACCTGAACCGACCTGATCCGGACCGGACCTGACCCGGACCTGTTGATTCAGGTCCGGTCCCGGTCCTTAAAAATCAAGGTTCCCGGTTCCGGTCCGGACCCGGTCTAAACCCGGGGTTTTCAGGTCCGGACCTGAAACCCGGAAAAATTGTATTTTTTTTTTTTAAAAAAAAAAAAAAAAAAAAAAAATTCAAAAATCAAATTAACGCTGCTGCTTGAGTGACGCTTGAATTCTCTTTCATTTCATTCTAACCCTAACAAACAGGCTGTCTCCCCCTCTCCCTCACGCAGTCACGCTCACTGTCTCCAGTCTCAGCCCAACGCGGCAACGCCCACCGCCGACACCTCCTGCCTTCCTCACTCTCTCAGGCGAAGCCCAGGCGCCCACCGACCACCGCATGCGACAGCTACTGCGCGATTTTCCATTTCTCCGGTAAGTTATTTTTTTTTTAATGTAAATCTAAATTATCTAATTATGTTTGGGTATTTTGTATTCGAAATAATGAATTAAGTGTTAGAATTTATATGTTTATTCATGTTTCAATTGCTTATAATGATTATTTGATGTTTGCATGTTGAATTTCTTTTTTTTACTTCAATGTTTTCGAATTTATGTTTTTTCTTTTTTGGTTTATTTTCGAATTTCTTTCGAATTTATGTTTTTTTTTTGGTTTTTTTTAGTTTAAAGTTTAGGGTTTTAGGGTTTAATGTTTAGAATTGATAACAAGTACGGTTTATCTTCGAATTTATGTTTTTTTTTTGGTTTTTTTTAGTTTAAAGTTTAGGGTTTTAGGGTTTAATAAAATCAGAAGAGTAGAGAAAGTAGTGATTAGATTGTAAACATCTAGTAGTCTAGTGTTTATCTAGTACTTTGCATTGACCTTTGGCATGGCTTCAAATTGAATAGTTGATTTTATGCATTCGGATGCATAAATTCTATGTTATTAGTCATTATATAAGCGTTGTTGCATAAACTTATCATTGCAGAAAAATGCCCAACTCTGCTATCAGAAAGTGTGCTCGTGTGCAGTTGATTAAGAATGGAAAAAAGATTGCTGCTTTCGTGCCCAATGATGGTTGTTTGAACTTCATTGAGGAAAATGTAAGTCCGTTCTATTAATGTCTGCAAGCATATATGCACTTACTGTTTCATAAATTGCTTGGTTGTGAATTTGCTGGTATTTTGTGCCTTTCGACACAAACTTAGTGATACACTAGCAGTTTGTTAACTGTCATTTGTTAACCGTGTTAGAAATAATGTTGTTTGTTAAAGTTTAAACAACTCCAATTATTTGTTAACCTTTGTAGAAACTCTTAAAGTCTAAACAACTCCAGTTATTTGTTAACCATTGTAGAAATAATGTCAATTCTGTTGTGGATTTTTTGGAGAAATACTGGCATCTGATTACTGAAGGTTTAACATTAGTAACAATGCTTTTCTTATACTCATATCATAAACTCTTGATAACAGTTTATCCAGAAACATATAAAACATGATAGTGCGCACTCTTTCTGTGCTGGTTTATCTGATTCTTCTGTCAGTACTCCTGCACCCACTCCTGTTCAGTACATGTGCAGCTTTATTTTTGTGGTTTAAGACTATCATAACAGTATTGCGGTGGAGAGTATATAGCTTGAGCAATTAAGATCAGTCATACACTGTTGGTTTTTTATCCTTTCATGAGCAAATCATCTGGAAAAAGCTGTTCTAAGATAATGCTAATTCATACTTCTTATCAAAGAACGATAAACTGTTCCCTTTTACTAAAGAAGTTACCTGATTGGTAAAAGAAGTCAAGGTCTTCTGTTATATGTATGTAGTTTAATGTTGTGTTTGGGTGTAGATTCATGCTGAAAATGTGGATCATGCAGAAGTTTGTGGAATTTTGTCTAATATTTGTTACCTGATTATATTGTATTTGACTTTGAAATTGATATTATCTAGCTCTGTTTTTCCTTCCATACTAAGAAAATGTGGTTTGTGCAGGATGAGGTGTTGATTGCTGGATTTGGTCGTAAAGGACATGCTGTGGGAGATATTCCTGGAGTCCGATTTAAGGTTGTCAAGGTTGCTGGTGTCTCTCTTCTAGCTCTGTTCAAGGAAAAGAAGGAAAAACCCAGGTCCTAGGTTAAGGTTGTTGGTTTTGTCTTAAATTTTTCCTACTCAAATGAAACTTGTACCGTCTTGAAATGAATACTGAGCATCCTTAAAAAGAGACACCCTCCCTACTTTGTTTTGTGCTCTATCCGTGTCTATTCAAGATGATTTTCTATACTCTTAGTTATTTGCTTATATTTCCAATTGGTTTATTTACTTCTCTTAACGATGTCATGAAAATTTCCGGAATTTATGTTAACAAGATCAGCTTTTTAATGATCTTGCATTTAAAAAAAAAAGGTCTTTGGATCTCCTAAAAACTGCTTTAAAACACAACAATTAACCATTCATTCATTCTCAAAGATGATGCTTAACTAGGCATTTGTATTCAGGTATGCTTCATGGAGTGTTATGAAAGCAACTGCACTTATATTATTAATATATATTAGCTCACTTGATTGAATTTTTTGGTGAACATTTCTTGCAGAATATTCCTCAGAAGTTCATGGAGTGTTTCAAGGAGAAACACTCCCCGTGGTGTACACTTATAGCGCCAAGTAAACACAAATGGAAAATCAGACTCTCGAGTACATATGATGAAAGGCCATTGGTGTTTACAGATGGATGGAAACAGTTTGTTCGTGACAATGGAGTGGAAACAAAAGTACTTCATATCGAATAGGCGGGATCTTAAACCTGGAGAAAAGAAAAGGGCTTCCAAGATGGCAGAGTGTTATAGGCGCAGCATGAAGGATAATAAGAGAGTGTTTCCAGTGTTTCAGATAGCCAAAAGTACTTCATATCGAATTTATGTTTTTTTTTTTGGTATTTTTGGTGTTTGAGAATTGGGACTTTATACTTTTATAGACTTTATGTAGTTTTGTACTTTTGTGATTAATAATTTTGGTTTGTATGTAATTATTTAATTATGCAACAGGTCTAAAAATCACAAAACAGGTCCATACGCAGGTCCATACGCAGGTCCAACAAGTTTTTTATTAAAAAAAATAAAAAAAAACGAAAAAATCACAAAACAGGTCCATTCAAGTCCAAACCTGGACCGGACCTGATTTTTCAGGTCTAGCCCGGAACCGGACCTGTTAATTCAGGTCCGGTCCCCGGTCCTCATAATTACCCAATTCAGGTCCCCGGTCCAAACAGGTCCGGTCCAGGTCCGGTCCGGTTTTGGACCGGTGTACACCCCTAGCGGGAAGTATTATTGCCACCGGTTAACTGGTGGCTTTAAGCCTTTTTGCCACTGGTTTTGAACCGGTGGCCTTGCTTTGGTTTATTGTCACCCCTTAAATGACCACCGGTTCAAAACCGGTGGCCTTGGGGGGTTTTGAACCGGTGGCCAATTCATATTTTCACCTAGTGATTGGAACACTTGCCTTTAGACATTGTTTTATTGTTGCTTTGCTGTTTTTTTTTTACTTGCTTTTTGAATGTTATAAAATTACACATCTTCCGATCCCAGGGTTAAGTAAATGTGGGTTGAAGAAATGAAGGTCAAACGTAAGACGAGGCTCAAAATGGTTGATGAAGAAATGGAATGTGATTGAACGGTTAACATGGAATGACAGGGTTGCAAAAGTGCCTCAAGTCATTGGTGTACCTTGGGTGTAGTTCAGTAATTGATTTTTTTTTTAGAATTAATGAATGAATGAAAAATTCTATGATCGAGATGTAAAGGAAATTTGCTCATTTTATTAATGGAAAAGGTGAACGCAACACATGAAACGTATAAAAATTCAAAATGGAAAACCTATGCTAGACATGAATGGGGGAATGGAGATGATTGATAAAGAAAGAAATCATGAAATCTTGCACGAAGGATCTGCTGTGTGCCTTGTGTTCATTATTTCTTGCCGCCTGGAGGGACAGGAAGTTTGTTTGCATCCACCAAGTCTTGAATAACGTCCTTCAAATTTCAACATTGCTCCGTAGAGTGGCCCCTTCCTTGATGGTACTTGCAATGGGCATTGGGATTCCATTTGGCGCTCCTTTCTTCAGGTTTTGGCTTTGGAAATGGCCCAATAGGTGTGATCAAGCCTTGACTGTAAAGGCGATCAAAGGTCGCATCATAAGTCATTCCTAAAGAAGTGTAAGTTCTTTTCTTCTTGGGCAATGGAGTATCAAGAGCTAACACTTCATTGAGATCAACTTGGCTTATATTGTTGATAGTATTTTCGTGCTTAGAAGACAAAGAAGAAGGATGTTCGTTCTTCTTGTTTTTCCAAGTGTTATTATTGTTACTACCAGCAGTCTTTATTAGCTCATCCTCGATGTTAATTCAGATGATATACTACAAGAGGGGGGGGTGAATTGTAGTATGTTCCTAGTGCCTACTTTTCGCGGAATATAAAACTGATTGATGTTAGGAACTTAGACAATGCAAAGCGGATTTTACGAGGAAACCATCCAGGGCCCAACTGGAAGTAAAACCTCGACCCTACCTTAGGGATTTCAAACACACTTCACTATAATAGGGCAAACACCAAGTTACAACCTATTAGACACGAACCTTTATTTCACAAGTTCCTCACTGGACTTGCTACTTGATAGGACCCTATCCTACCCAATCTAAGTACCACACTTAGATTCACTCGCACCACCAAAGTACTACACACTCGGCCTCACACTAGAAGCTCAATCGGCCTCACCTAGAAGCTCACACATTGCACTCTTACAATATAATTATAACGAGAATCCTCACGAACTCTCACACCCCAATACATAAAACACTCAAAACCCTTTTTCCCAATTACAAGATCTCAAAGAATAACTCTAAATACATACCAATGAATAAAGAGATAAAACTAATATGTTGGACACTCGAGATCTGTCTGGAACTTACTGGACGAACTGTAACCGGAACCTGACTGGGACTTCGACCTGGAGGTTTGACTTAGCTTCGTGGTGAAGGATGAAACCATTAAGCACGACCACTTCACTTCATCAACCTCAACATTGAATGAATACATATGAGCATATTTATAGTACACCCAAATTATTCTTTTCGTAAAAGATAAGTTTTATTAAAAGATAGAAATAAAAGATATTTTCCAAAAATAAGTTTTCCAAAAATATATCTTTTGTCAAGAATATATTCTATCAATAATAATAAGATATATTTACCATAAAATCAGCTTTTATCTAAATCTTATATTTTCCAAATATACTAATATATCTTTTAATAAAAGATATACTTACCTTACCTTTTTACAAAAGATATACTTGCCATAAAATTAGATTTTATTTAAAACTTATTTTACTGAAAATATTTTCCAAAAATAACTTATTTTTTTCCAAAAGGATTTATTAGAAAATAAATATCTTTATTCTGTAAAACCAAATCCTTAAAAGATATGCACGTGGTAGATAAATATATATCATTAAATTCGACCTGCGACCTTTAACGACGTGTAGACGTAAGTTCCGATTAGGTTTCGGAACTCTGACAGTCTCTGAGTTCCTGACAAGTCAGTAACCCTAATTTCATTGACTATCATGAGTTCACCTTGGTTCTTTAAACTTGTTCCAGACTGAATTTTATGTCCAACATACTTACATGAATCCTAGAGCGATATACTTCGATTTCTCCGTCTTCATGTTGTTTCTTTGAAACTCTTGTTCTGGAATCTTGTAGTATTGATGTATTCTAGTTCTCGGGGCAAGTTCCTGTTAGGGAACTTAGATAGTTCTTGTTAGAGAACTAAGTTCCTGTTAGGGAACTCTTCATGTACCTGTTAGGAAACATGGAACTCTTCATGTACCTGTTAGGGAACATGCTCCGACTTTCGTGGGAAAGCCTACCGAAAGTTCCTTCTGCATCTCGTTAGAGAATATCTTCTAGTTCCTTCATGGTTTGGTTCTTGTGGGAGAACCTGCTTTAGGTTCATTCATTCCCTCTTGTTCCTCTTGAAGTCTTCTATGTTCCAACCCATTGACTTCACCTAAGTCAGTTCCTGTCTTCACATAAACACTTAAGAGAAACATTAGATTGAAGTTTGTTTGTCATAACAAACTTCAAGTGAGAGAACTAATTAAACTCAAACCTTATGTAAATACTCCTACACATATACAACTCATGTATGCATAGTGTACTTACCTTATGAAGCTAACATATGCAAACACCTATTTACATAGTTACCTTCATAGTTCCTTAGCCATCTTCATGCTTATCAACCATAACACTCATCATTGTTCTTGTTCTTCTATTGCTTATCATATATTGCTTAAGTTCCTTATATATATATATATATATATATATATATATATATATATATATATATATATATATGTGACTGCTCAGGTTCCTTGTATCCCGTTCCAAGTATAACTTGTTCTTTCTATGCACAACTTATCAAACACATTAGATATATAATCATCATTAGTTTACAATCATCAAAACCTAATTACTCAACAATTTCCCCCTTTTTGATGATGACAAACTAATGATGCTTATCACACATTAAAGGATAAATCGTTGTACATTTATTCCCCCTTAGTTCTTCAAGGAAATAACATTTAGAACAAGTTAGGAACATACACAGGAACTTCACATAGTTAGAAACTTAGCAATACACTTATCAATATATATATATACTTTAGGCTTAACTACTACATACCATAAGCATCATACATATTCTTCCCCTTTTGTCTTTATCAAAAAGGGTATTGTTCCACAAGTTTGTTTTCCATAAATTACACACACATAAAGTCATATGTCACACCTACCAACATATAATAAGTAAATATATAATGGTTAAACACTTGTTGTTCCTAAAAGCCTCAAGGTACTCACTTTTCAAACTGGAAACTATTTCCACACTAATTTCCAACTCACAATCCAAAGACCCAACTTCAAAACCCTTAATTGAACTTGACAAATAAGAAGTTAAAAATCAAGTAAAGATCAAAGCTAAAAAGTTAGAAATGGATTGCATGAATAGGCAAATGAAAGCGCAAGCTCAAAGGATATATAAAGAAGCATATGGAACAAAATAAGTAGAGGGAACATGAAGTGGAATTTGTGCTCTTCGTTTAGACCTTTTAAGATGAG